AAAAAAAATCAAACCTGCTTTAAAACCCAGCAACACAACTGTAGCTGTATAACTTTACAACAGCAACACTGCTTTAACAAAAAAGCAAAACAGCAAGACTTATTTGACATCAAAACAAAAATAAAAAAAATGCTGTCTAATCGCTCCCGCAGTACTTTGATATCACAGAACAGTCTGTGCAGTGCTGCTTCAAGTCCAACACCTATTGTGTTTTATTAGGAGACGCACAACAGTTCTTCTGTGGCTTTATAGGTAATATTTTCACGTACACAATTTAGCAAAATCAGACAATATTGTGTCCAATATATACCACAATATTAACTTCTTATTATTGAATTGCTGTAAAGAAATATCACATTTGCAACTCGGTGTTCAAAAAATGCTGGGAAATCACTTGATGTAGCCTTACAAGAGTGATTACTAATAAACTGTCTGAAAAAGAAAGAAAGTCACGTTATAGAGAAGGAAAAAATCACCCACTGACTTTCAAAGCTGCTACATAGCAACGACTTTCTACTTCGAGGACCTTGATAGAAATGTAGTGGAGTGAAAATTACAATATTTGTCTTTCAAATGTTGTGACGTTAAAGTTATAAGTTCCCAGAAAAAATAATACTCAAGTAATGTACAGATACTCAAAAAGTGTACTTAAGTACAATACTCAAGTAAATGTACTTAGTTACTGTCCGCCTCTGATCACGGAGGACATTGGGATTCCAAACATAAAAACAGTAAAGTCATTCTCATCAGAACATGAGCGTTATGGTCTTATGTAAGGTCTAATTTTCATAGCCAATGTTTTCTTAAGTTTTGCGTCCACAGGAAATTGTTTGGTTCACGGAATGATCACGACCCATGTATACGACCGCACGACATACAGACTTCATGTCTACACCTCACAGCCTTGTTTTCATTCACATCAAATTAAATAAGATCAGAATCAACAGGAAACTGTGAAGTGAATCAGAGAAGTACAAAGCATTAATGGAAAAGTATGAGGACAATTTCTGAGGCTCCATTCTTTTACCTCTCTCCAATCATCTTTCCAGTCTCTGAAACATGAACAAGTTAATTGGTTTGCTAGAAATAGCCTGACACGTTTACACAAACACGGCACTGTATTCGCCTAAATTCAAGGAGAATCAATCAATAAGATGGCACATATAATAAAATTACATAGGACTCTAATGGCTTGACATTAAATGGGCTCTTACTTCACAGACTGCCACGTCTCCTGCTCAAAGCCGCGATGAATGGACTGAGCTATTGACGACTCCATCAGGTCAATGTACCGCACCACCAGAGGGATGTACAGGTCCTGGAGGTGCTTATGGAACATTCCATTGCACAGGTGAGCTGGAGAACATAAAGGATGAATGAAAGCTTTACAATATATCGACTGATGTGCAACGGATTATATATGACCATGCAAAATATAGTGAGCAATGCTATCAACCTTATTTTTCATGTAAGAGTGGGCGAGGCCATTTGTAAATTTAATGTGTCTGGCTTCCGGTGTCATTCACTTCCAGCTTTTTTTATCTGTACAAAACAGCTGGTTTTGCTGCTTGATATTGCAAACTGGTGTATCGTACCATATTATTTTAATGTATTATCTTAATTATGAACACACTGGTTTGTAGTTTTACCTTTTACTGCACCCTACAGCGGCTAATGAACCGGGGGAAAAAAAACCCACAATAGCATTTCTATGACTTTCCAAAAGAGGAAAAAATGTTGATTAAGTTGGTCAGAAGAGAGAAAGATGAAAGAAATTGACTGTCACTCCCAGTTTATAATTAACTAGTTTTCTGTAATTTTATATTAATTTAATATAGTGTTCTAAATGTACATTTAAAATAAAAAATTAAAATACAGAAAAAAAGGTTTCTCATTCATATTAATTGATTACAATTTTCACCAAAGTTGCTCCACTTTTCTTTTTTGTAAAATCATACTTCTATGGCCCTATGTTATTGGCACTTTCAGTTGATTGCATACTGCCTGAAATATAATTAGTTAAATCATGACAACTTTTAGCATGGTGATGGATATGACAATGTTAATGTATTTGGCCTTGGCAGAACAGATCTGCTACGCTGCTGCTGAATTGCTGCTGCTGTTGGTTATTGCGGTAGTTGTAGATTATTGCTGCTGCTGCAAGCAAGTACAGGAACTTGCTACTGCCAATACATATGGCGATACGGTGCCATGAGTATTTAAGACATACTGCTGCTGCACAAATAGCATACAAAATAACCTCATAGCAGATCTATACAGGTGGAGCTGGGGAAGGTGGAGGGTTTCAGAGAAACTCTGAAAGCTCGCTGCAGGAATCTCAAGGGAATGCTAGCCAGCCATATAAATGCAAGGCAGTAAGCTCATTGGCTGCATATGCACCATGAACCAATCAGTGCCAAGTCGTTTAACTCTCTGAATATCATCAGTTACGTTAACACCCCGCCAGACAGCGCCATCTAGAGTTTCATGACTGAACTATATATTTGTGTTAGTTTACCTCTCATCTCTCCATTAATTTCACATAGAGGAAAAACAACATACTGTTTGTAAAAAGTGGCACAGCTTACCCAACTCTCCTGTACATGTAAATGCACTCAATGTAATTAAAGCACTTAGAAGGAAACAGGGGTCTATTACATAAAGCACTTAGAAGGACATGGGGGTCTGACAGAGAGCGAGAGAAAGAGAGAGAGATTCATGTCTCCTCAGGCATCATTAAGTGTAATTCCCATCTCTCTGTTCTTCATCATTAACACTAGCCTTTTTACTCTCATGGGTGTTTGAGCTCATTTCCCAACCATTTAACAATGATGAAACTCATTTGAGCATTTAGTGTCAATGTCACAATTTTTTTGTGATGTGCACACACTAAAAACTGTAAAAAGCATGCACAACTGAAACTAATTCCTGTCTGAAATCAGGAAATTAGATATTTCATTAGTAATATGCTACAGTGTTATCTGCCACCTAAGAGTCTCATTTGGTTGCTCTAAGGCTTTGAAATAACATCTGATGAATTCAGCGCCTAGTTAAGATGTACAGTATACACTCAAAATAATTGAATTGTTGAGAAAAGTTAAAAAAAAATTTAGATTTTTGCATTCTCGCAACAACTATTTTAACTGTCCCAAATAATACCACTTTATTCAGGCGATCTGAATTTGATCATGCACTCAATTCAAAACATCTCATTCAGCTAAGAAATTCATCACATTTTAGTCTCTAATTGTTTGGATAAAATGTAATTCCTTTTTAGGATTTTTAACTTTTGTGTCTAATATTTCAGAAACATTTCATGTGTACTTCATGAACAATTATTAGATACCCTCCTGATAATGACACTGTCATGATAAACCAGAGAAATTATTCATTATTCTGTCATTATTCACAAAAAAAACTCACCAAGGCTGCCTTTATTTGTTCAAAAACACATTAAAAATGTGAAATATTATTACAATTTAAAATAATGCTTTAAAAAAAAATAATATTATAAAATGTCATTTATTCCTGTGAACTTTCAGCATCATTACTCCAGTCTTCAGTCACATGATCCTTCAGAAATCATTCTAATGTGCTGGTTTGCAGTTCAAGAAACATTTATTATCATCAATGTCAAAAACAATTGTGCTGCTTAATATTTCTTTGGAAACTGATTTTTCATGATTCTTTGATGAATATAAAAGTTAAAAAGAACAACACTTATTTGAAATAAAATCTCTGTAACATTATAAATGTCTTTACTGTCGCTTTTGATCAATTTAATGCATCCTTGCAGAACAAAAGTATTCATTTGGATTCTCATATGTCTTGTAATTATTGTATGGCCATTATATTGTTTCAGAAGTGCTTGTATTATTTTTATGATACTTTTCTGTCATGTTTGAGTGCTAGTGTTGTTGATTTTCATATGGAAAAAAATGGAGAAGAGCAGCGTGACCATTCTGCTAAATCTCTCATTTGGAGATCCATGAAAGACAGTCACTCATGAGTTTGAAACACCATGAAGTTGAGTAAATGATGGCAAAATATTCATTTCTGGGTGAATTATTCCTTTAAATCTGCCAATTTAAACAGAGACATTTTAAATAATTTCCAGCAGGCTTTTCTCATTACAATTCTACCTTTGAGATTAAAAGAGATTCATTTACTGAGATTAATTTAGTGAGAACAGGGCAGAGGAAAGCAATATGTTTTATTATTATATTTTCTGTTGTCAGAAAATGTCACATGATCCTTCAGAAATCAACCTAAGATGCTGATTTGGTGCTCAAGAAACATTTACTATTATTATTATCAATGTTGAAAACAATTGTGCTGCTTAATATTTCTGTGGAAACGGTGATGCAAACATTTTAGAGAAAGTTTAAGTAATTTGTATTTTTTTTATTTGTTTATTAATATTTATTTATTAGTTTTAGTTATTTTAGGACTTCATGTGAAACTAAACAAAATTGAGAAATGCTACCCAGGCAACTAAGATAAATAAAATAAATGCTTATTTTGTAATTTATTTATTTATTTATTTACTTATCTTTATTTATTTTAATATTTTATTTCAGTTTATATGGTTTCAAAGATTTATTGATTTATTTTTAACGGTTTTAGTTAACAATGATAACCCTCCCTGGAACAAAGATCTGATCCTGGCCTTGATCAGCCATCAAGAAAATTTTGGTATTTATTTATTTTTTCGTTAATAGTTTTTAGCAAAAACTTGGCAAGTCTTTGACTTTTGAATACAACAAGAGAGAAAGCTGTCAATTAACTTTTTATTTAAAATGCTTCTGAATTAAATTTCTCTATTGGGGACAATCAAATTATACACAAATCTCAAAATGAATTAAAAATATAATTATAAGCTCTTACTTTTAATTTTTTCATTTTTTTTGTGTGCAAAGAATAAACTTCCCTGATTGTAATATTTTTATACATTTATTGTAGAAGGGAAATTACAATGTCTGAGTTATCTTTAAAAATCAGGAAAAATTTAAGAGACAGAGAAATAAATAAATCTATTTTAAAAACTGAAATGTTTTTTTATAAATGCATTCTTTCTTAAAATCATCCTAATGGACATAAAGGCTCCCCTAATAAGAACAGAATCACCCATTAATACGTAAAATGCTAGAAATATGCTACACATTCTATGCATGTGCAAACACACTATCACAAATAATAATGCCAAACAGCAGTGTAATAACAGAGAGACAATACTGAGAGCTAAACATGGTATACTCGGATACTGAAAACAAAGCTCAATAAAACATGGAAAGGATGAAACTAAAGCCAGTAGAAGTCAAGCAATGCAATGATGAGACCTTGAAAAGAAGCACACAAAGATCGAGATAAATACAGCGAGAACAGAAGGCTGCTTCTGTGCCTGCAAGCTTGCTTGCTTTTTTAAAGCGTTACTTCCAAACACTATCTATGTATATAGTTGAGCAAACCCCTAAATGGGTTTATGATTCACTTTGAATAAATATTTTTTACTTTGAAATTGGTAGTAATTTAATAAATAATTACAAAGAAACGGCAAGTGACACACTGAATTAAACATCCAATTTTGATGTAAAAAGACTGAAATAGTATTTTCTTGTAAAACGTGCTGCAAAAAATTGTACATGCAAAATAGATGCAGAAATTACATTAAAGATGTGAAAATTTTCACTGAACTTTCATGTCTACTATCAATAGTGCAGCAATCACTTAAAGGTGCCACAGAATGCATTGATACAATATTTTAAATTGTTCTCTGATTTCTACATAGAAGGTATGTGGCTTAGGTAAGGGAAAAAAATCTCCAGAAACGGTTTTACACGTCCATTTACAACCCTAGGATTTGTCCCTAGAATTAAATTGTCTGTTTTTACCTTATTAGGAAGGGTCATGAATAATAATGTTGAGCTCTCTGTCTAATGTTTCACAGTGTGGTTCAATGTTGAGCTCTGCTCTGATTGGCTGTTTCACAGTGCGGCTCATTTCAGTAGCTCACACAGCAGGAAGGAAACACAGGGAAAATATATATAGGATCTGTAAATCATTCGCCATCATCCTCAGTCATCTCTCCTTACTCTGTTTATGTGGTAAGTGAAATGTTATGTACTGTGATGTAACAGGCTACCGCTAGCAAGCAGCTAACCATATCCCTTTAATGACTCGCGTTATTTTATTAGAACACGCGTTATTTGTTTTCCGTGCCTTTCTGAATACAGACACCAACCCATCCCTGCACACATCCCCTGCACAGCCTGGAACATAACATTTATTTCCATGATCTGCCATTTTCGCTATTATCCTCGCTTGTTTCTTCACAATATCTGCAGAACTTCTGATGATTCGGCTGTGCAGGTTCGGCTGGCGGCTGGCATAGAACATGGGCGGTTATATGCAAATGTTGGGGGCGTAACTATTAGTGATACTGGCTGTAACGTCACAGTCGGTGTTATGTTCTGATTCGCCTGTTTTTCAGTGGTCTTTTGCATGCACGAGATTTACATAAGGAGGAGGAAACAATGGTGTTTGAGGCTCACAGTATGTCATTTCCATGTACAGAAATGTTATTATTCAACTATGCCAAGGTAAATACAGTTTTCCATTCTATGGCACCTTTAAAATCCAAGCAGCTTTCTGTTGGTCAATGCTGCAAATTCTCAAGACCATCTTTAACCTGATGTGAAATCAGCAGGGGGGAAATTTTAATTCTCGCATTAAATTTCTGATTGCGCAGAATCCAATTGAAATGACTGGATTTCACGTGCAAAATTTTGCAGAGCAACTTTAAATTTGTAGAGTTGGGGTACTCAGACTCGTACTCTGACTCGAGTCCGGTCTCGAGTACAGTTTTTTAAAGGACTCGGAAAATATGTCCGAGTCCAACCGAGTCCGGGGACAGTTGACGGAAATATCACTGACTCAATGCATTATCACGAAAGTGATATTCAGTATTTGCATGTGTTTTAAGTCTTGTCCAGCATTTGAAAGCCACCGGGTTTCTGTGCTAACACATCGAAAGCATGCTCACAGAACGCGCCTCTCAGTCAGCGTGCGAATGCCGAGTTATTTCACTTAAGTTCTCTTAAGTTTTGTTATTGCTACTCATTTAAATGAAAATTTATGTCAAAATGCCCGTCTTGGAGACTATTCATGTAAATGCAGTCGGGTTTGTCTTAAGTGAACTTGAACAATTGTATTTTTTAGTAATATATTAATTTATCATTTAGCTTGTAAGTAATACTACGGAGTGTTTACTTGCCTTTAGTAAGCTTGAGAATGTTTTATTACATTAGTTTATTCTTTTTTGCTTTTGTATAAGTGGCAGTTTATAGCTTCAAAGAAAAATCATTTTTCTAACATCTTTGAGGCAATAGTTTTTATGACTAAGTTTGCTAAGCAAAGCAGGACACTAATTATTAATCAAAAATCAAAATGGCAAGATGCAATAGAGGTTTGCTTTTGTTACATTTAAATGGACATTGCGTTTTTCTAGTTGTAAAGGTTAAAACAATGTTAAGATACTAATAAATAATAGAGTTTCGTTGGACTCGGACTCGACTGTTTGGGACTCGGACTTGTCTCGAACTCGATTGGTTAAAGACTCGGACTCGACTTAGGTGGACTCGAACCCAACACTATAAATTTGAATGCAATTTTACACTAAAGAAGGGATTATCCATATTTAGGGACCATAATATAATATAATATAAAATATAATATAATATAATAAATTGTGATTTATTGGAAATAAAAGATTATTATGTCTAAGAATACTATTTCAGTCTTCAAAACTTTGTTAAATTAATTTTATTTGATAATTACTAGCAATTTCTTTTTCCCGTTTCTACACCATTTTTTAATCCCCATCCCCACCCACCCAGTGTAGTTTATACTATGGGAAACAGATGATTAAGACCATCTGAAAAACTGGAAATGACATTTGACTATCAATTTCAACCTCTTTTACATACATAAACATCCAATATATTTAAATGTGGAAGGTAACAATTACATGCACATAAAATCAAGTCTGTTGATTTTTTTTAACCGTTCCACATTTCTAAAAGGGTACTGTACTAGAAAGTAGCAGAATACTGCTATTGAAAAAGCTAAAGTTCAAAAAAGCACAATTAGCCATCCACGTGTCTTTTATGGTCGACTGCAGCAGACCAGAGCCCATAAATCCTGCTGAATTCTCCTGAGCAAAGGGGAAAAAATTCAGTGCCGTCCTCCTACTATTGTGTCGAGCTCTTTATTGTCTGCCAGTGTGCGCACTGAAGGCCCTTCTGAAAAGATCCAAGTCTATCAATGCATTTCTCTCTTTGCATTCTTCCACAGGCTGATTCCTGGGGATGGCTGCAGCTAACTTAAAGGGTTAGTTCACCCAAAAATGAAAATTCTGTCATTAATTACTCACCCTCATGTCGTTTCAAACCCGCAAGACCTTTGTTCATCTTCGGAACACAAATTAAGATATTTTTAATGGAATTTGAGAGCTGTCTGACCCTGCGTAGACAGCAACGCAACTGAACTGTTCCCAAGTCCAGAAACGGTGCAAGGAGATCGGTAAAATAATCCATGTGACATCAGGGGTTCAAACGTAATTATACGAAGGTACAAAAATTCATTTTGTGCGCAAACCCCCCCCCCCAAAAAAACGACTTTATTCAACAATTCGTCTCCTCCGCATCACCCTGGTGCCATACAACGTATGCTGTAACAACGTATGCTGTTCTGTGTCAGCTGCGTCACGCCGGATCTGTTTCGTACGTTGTTGTGATTTGATCTGAACGAAAACAGTGTATCCGTGTGACGCAGCTGACACTATATATATATATATATATATATATATATATATAAGTGAGTTACATAACTATACATAAATATCGCATAACCTATTAATATAAATATTTAGAAAATATAAAATAACTAAAAATCTCTAATAATTATAAACAATGCATAACACACACATATACACACAGTATATATATATATATATATATATACACACACACATTTTTTTATGTATACTAAGTATACTATACATTTATTTTAAATGATAAAATATCAGAATTTATGTATATATATTCAGGTAGGAAAGATATTTTTTATGCTGCTAATTTGATCAAAAATACAGTAAAAATATTAAATATCACGGCAATTTAAAATAATGGTTTTGCATTTGAATATATTTAAAATTGTTATTTATTCCTGTGATGCAAAGCTGAATTTTTTTGTATAATTTCTCCAGTCTTCAGTCACATGATCCTGCAGAAATCATTCTAATACGCTGCTTTTGAGCTTTTGTGCTCAAGTAACAATTCTTATTAATATTTCTGTGCAAACCGTGATGCATTATTTTCAGGATTCCTTCATGAATGGAAAGTTTATTTGAAATAGACATTTTTTGTAACACTGTAAATGTCTTTACTGTCACAATTTAATGCATCCTTGCTGAATAAATGCATTAGAAAGTATTAATTTTAAGATCTTGCTAATAATAGCACAACACAACACAAGAGTGAAATAGAAGATCCTTACCTCTCGTCCCTAATGCATTTACAAACATAGGAGTGGTAGAGAGAAAGAGAGAAAAAAATATGAGACAGACAAACATTGTTTTCTTCCAATTAATCCACATATGCAATCTTATGCATAGTGAACACTGAAACACTGTACACAATGTATTAGACAATGTTTTACTTCTTGCTTTCACTGTACAAATTGTGTGTGTGAAGATAATTTCTCTAATGTAGATCTGAGCGCAAAACGCACACACACACCTTGATGTTTCCTTAGTGACAGCATGTGGGACATCTGTCTTGTTAGACATAAGCGTTTTGGCATCATTGTCTCTATCGTTTGTGACAGCTGTTGGAAGCTTGCGGACTAAAAATAGCCCAGTACCTCGCAAGCAGATGTCTACATTCACATTTTTATTTACCGGTAGTGAAAAGATCAGCATCTTTGTGAACGAAGCCTGAACACCTAGGATTGATCAGTTTCCTTCGATCTTTTTTTTTTTTTTTAATGTTGATGTGAGTGTTAGCGGGCGCTGGCTCTGTGCAGATGGGCCGTGGGCGTTGTTTTCCTGCGCCGCTACTATGAGCTGGCATTGGACGGGTAAGCTGTCACTCGCTAACAGCTGTTATGGCAACGTGGCGACGTAAATGGACAGCGAGACGGTAAATGATCACGAGTCTGCTCTGAAATGATCATGCAATACCTTCTGGAGCAACATGCAACGCCAAAAGGCCCGATGATAAACAAAGATTGATTCTCTGTCTACGTGACTGTGGGCTTCTTTGAACATATGTTGTAAAGGACTGGAAGAGATGTCACATGATCGATAGCAAACTCACCATGTTGCTGGTGTGGAATATTGCGTTGAATATTGAATATGAGAAACAAGGGGGAAAAAGCATTGATACAAAGACCTAATGAAAATAAATGAAGGCTTACTCAGCAGGAAATAGTTTGGACTGAGACAACATGCCACCGGTTGGTCTTTAAAAAGCACTAACAAGTCTTTCTCAAGAGATGTTCTGTGTATTTTACCTCAGAGTGATGCTCGTCGTTCTGTTGTAAGACCTCCATACACAGCTCTCCTAGTCTGATCATGTCCTCCAGCCTTTTCTCTGGAGACGCCTGACTGCTGTCTGCTGAAATACAGACATCACAACATTCACACAAGATGTCAACCACTCCAAACATGTTCATAGTTTGAGTAAAATCTGGAAGCATTGTATCAAAAGGGCTCAACAATAAGGATTTGGTCAGCTACACTGTAATAAATGATTGTAGAAATGAACAATTTTAAGTTTAGGTTTAAAATGTCCATGGATATAACTTGCTGAGATAACTCAAATATCCAAGTTGTCAGTTAAGAGAACTTCACATTTCAAGTTGACTCAAATTTTTGAGTTAGCGCGTACACGCTCATGTGATATTCTTGGTAGTATATCTTGCCATGTAAATGTTTATTAAAATATTTTATATTAAAATAATATTTATAATATAACAGTTTAAATACAAAAAATAATAATTTAAATTAGTTAAACTTGAATTAAATTTGTGAAGAAAAAATAAATTATATATATATATATATATATATATACTGTACATACATA